ACCCTGCATTATACCTTATTCATGCCTTGTATTTGTGATTTCAGAGATACAGTCATGTATTTCCCATCTTGAAGATAATAAATATGTAGTATTCGTGTGCCTAACCGTAGTAATTTGCAATAATTATCCTTCATAACGTACCCATGCTGTAAGCCATATTGGTCTCACATACATAATTTGGAAATAAATTGCTTTATTTACATTTTTACAACAATCTTCTTTTCTTCTGCATACAATGAGGTCTTTTAATTAAATTCTCCGTGATATGATAGGCCTCACGTCTTCCGACTGTGATCATGCTGATCTCACACAGCCTAGAATTGCCAGAGACAAAGCTGATGTTGATGCAGTAGTTGACATGCTGGGAAATAACTGGATAAATCCTTTGGCCAGGTGACAGATCTCGTCAGTTTATCTACTGGTATTGCTGCTCCTAAAGATGTGTTATATGATATTATGCTTGCCAGAGAATTGGGTGAAAATGCCTGAGGACAGTGCTGAACAACAGGACTTTAACAGCAGAATGAAAAAGCTAAACTTGAAGATATTTTCTGACCTCAAAAAGAAAACAAGGGCAGTAAAAGTGCATGGAAAAGAAGTGATATTGAAAGCAGATAGAAATCTCTTCAGCAACATGATCATTTGTGCAAAGAGCAGTAAACTTGATATGCAGGATGTGCTGGCACATCCACATGGGCCTCTTCCTTGGTCCATTGCCGATCCAGAAGATCATCCACGCAATACGAATAAATCTGCATTAAGTAGAGAAGTAGAAAAAAATGTTTTATATGCAAAAATGTTACCGCAACCTCGGGCTTGCATCATTGAAGCTATGGCACTTGTTCATACTGTCGCCCGGTGACAAGAAAACATGCAAAGACATTGCAGACTCTATGCTGGCTATGATTCTCAGGGAAGGTGAAGGATGTTGGAGAACTTGTGATATTTGATGTATACAAGCCAGTATCTATTAAATATGTAGAGCGAGAACATAGGGCTAGAGATACGGAAGTTCTGACTTACAAACATATCTCTCAAGGCACCAAGATCATGCAATGGGCAAACTTTCTTCATGGTACAACAAACAAAAAGAAGCTTATAACATTTCTCGTTTCTCAGTGGAAAGAAGCTACAGTAGGTGCAGGAGGAAACTTGCAGAAAGCAATACAATCATGTATGTTACATGTGAGGAAAATTGTGTAAAAATAACAGCAGAAGTTGAACTGTACACACGAGAAAACCGATACGAGAATCATCTTACATGTTTCACACATAGCTAATTTTGCATATACGGCAATACAGTAGTTATTATTTCCAAAGACACTGATGTTCGAATGTTGTGCTTAGCTTTTGCCTCTGAAATATCTACACCATTGTATCAAGTGTGCACAGCATAGACCAGAACACGGTACAGTAGTATCAACCAAATTGCACAGGCTCTCGGATTCTCTGTATGCAAAGTTATCCTTGGAATGCATTCACTCACTAGATGTGATAAGTCAGTTCTTTTGCTGGCAAAGGCAAGCTTTCAACCCTGAAACTGATCAAACAAAATGCCACATATTGTATGTTGTTTGAAAATTTTGGCAGTGATTGGCAGGTGCCGGAGGAATTGTTCAGGCAACTACAAGGGTTTGTTTGTGCTTTATATGGTGCAAATTATGGCACTGATGATGTCAACCTGTACAGATATCACCTCTTTTGTGCAAAGAAAGGACAGACTGAATCATTCCAGTTTCCACCTTTTGCCAACTGTTTGTTCAAGCATTGTCTTCGCTCTTGCTATCAAAGCGATTTGGAAGAGAAGCCTAGAGTGTGCCCCAGAAATTCCCAGTCCATCTGGATTTGGATGGGTAATAGAACAGTGTGGCAAAGAAGAGAACATTAAGATTGACTGGATGGATGGTCAGCCTGCACCTCTTGCTGTGCTGGAACTGCTGGCTTTCAAGTGTGTATGCGCGTGTGAAGCACCTGACTGTCAATGTAATGCACATGGCCTGCGCTGCAGTGAAATGTGCAGACTGAAAACATGTTCTAACCAGGCTCCCACAGAACAGGAAGAGGAGACAATGATTGATGAGCCTGATGATTACAGTGCATAATATTAGCTTAATTAGTTATATGTCACTTTTGGACTGTTCGTTGGTGCAAGATGTGTGTGGCAGTGTATAGATTAGTTGACTGCAGGTAGTTTATAGTGCTTGTGTTTTACTAGATACTCAGTTGTATCACTTATGGAATCAAACATTAAGCATGCAGACTTTCCTCTTTGCAAGCGTGAGTGCAAATGAAACCATTTCTAAGTATTCTTTGATAGCCATAACCTATGTATATGCAGTTATGAATAGTGGTACTATACATGTATGTTGTTATATCAGAGCAGTGACTGGCAGTTACCAGTCATTCTTGTCAGAATGTTACATTTTGACTTATGTTTGATTTATCATCTAGCAAGGCTAGAATTTTATATCGAATAGTCTTTATTATTTTTTACAATACTCTTTTACTTTCAAAAATTTTTGGGGATGACAGTGTCTGCAACACATTAGGATGCAAATGTTTACATATATTTGTAGTAAGGTAATAAGCACCATTCTGGGGCGTAAATTCATTGTGTTAATTTTCTTGTTTTTGCTATGCTCATGTAAAGTGCATATAATTTGTTATTAGAGAATATAACATAATTCCTCCTATAAATTTTGGTTATGACTTATGTTCATACATGCTACTTATCATTGTGTAAATTACTGTACACTACATGAGTGCATTATGAACAGTTTTAATTTAAAAAATCACCTAGACCAAACTCATAAAACTATGGTTATACATTCAACTAATGCATGTAGACTGACAGACTGGAAATATGCAACACCCTGAAGAAGAATGAGACCTAATTATGTAGTGTGCAGTTGTGAGTGTGACATAATGTCGAGTTGGCAGTATGCGGTACCCCTGTTTAACATAAATTTTAACTACTAAAGCTGTGCCATATGCACTGCTATCATACATATTTTGAATCTAGAGGTTTTAAGCTTTCCAATGATACAGTATATGATAACTTTAGTCACTCTTGGTGGTACCTCTAACCCCTGTTGGCCCTCTGACTAAATTCTCCAATAGCCGGAATTGAAATTTGCTTGGAATTTTTCTGGGAAATTCTCTGAATTCCGGTGTTTGAGAACAAATTCCGAGGTTGAAAATAGGGTGCATTTTGTGAAAATTCCAAGAAAATTCTGAATAAAATAATCTTGAATTACACCTTGTGAAATTAGTGCATCAAGCATGGGTCCCCTGAAAGATGACTTCTCCTCCATCCCCACTTCCTTCTCTTCTCCCTTTTCCTCCACCCCCACTTCTAATTCCCATCATCATCATCAACCAGGAACCTTCTACATACACACCTCAAAGTAAGTGTACTTTACTGCATTTTTTTTTACTTTGTATGTACTTTTCTGTGAGTTGGAACCAATTACCCAATATCCCATTGAAACAATGGATTCGGTTAACGAAATTTTTTGTTAACGAATTACTCTGTGGAACGAATTGTGTTCGTTAACCGAGGGTATTATTATTATTATTATTATTATTATCATCATTATCATTATTATTATCATTATTATTATTATTATTATCATTATTATTATTATTATTATTATTATCATTATTATTATCATTTTTATTAACATTATCATTTTTATTAACATTATCATTATTACTACCCCTGTATTATTATTATCACAAATATTTGCAAGCTCAAGGGCCCCCCCCCTGGACCCAGGGCCCCCGGCCCGGGCTCCCTGGGCACCGTTGTTAATGCGGCCCAGAATTTAATCTACACCGCGAAGATGCTGGAAAGTCAGCTTTTTGAAGTGCGTGTGTGTGTGATTTTCAAGGATTAGAACATAACCCAACTTTTTCCATTGGTTACAGTGATTGCTTTACTAAGTTGTACAATGTATGCTGTTTTCCAGGAATTTATTACCATACAATAACAAGAGTGTACAGTGGTCCCTCGGTTAACGAACGCCTCGGTTAATGAAATTTCGGTTAACGAATTACCTTCCATAAGAATCTTCATTTCTGTTAACTAACAAAAATTCGGTTAACGAAATTCTTAAGAAAATGTTTCGACATGCTTTGGCTTGCTCACCAGCTGGAAGATTAGTCCACCAATACAGAAATCGGTTCTAGGGCTTACATTCGTTAAAATTGGAGTAAATATCAAGAAGGTTGTACTATCCAATAATTTTCCAAGTTTTATATTAAAATTTTTCGTCATTTTAACACTTATTTAACATAAATGCAGTACAGGGAACTAGTTTTTGGTGTGCCCATAAGCCACTTCACTCACCCACCAATGCCTCAGTTTGTATCTCTGTTCATTGGAGGAAACATCTTGCTTGTGGGTCTCTTGAACACAGAGTATTTTTACGTTTTTACAGTACAATTATTGGTTATTCTGAAATTTATTTAACATACTGTATAGGCAATTTATAGTGCAGTGCAGTGTTGATTTAAAGAAAATAATCTTGAATTACACCCAGTGAACTTAAAATTTTATGGGTGAAATGACGGCATCAAGCATGGGGTGATTTCTCTTCCACCCTCCTTCTCCTCCACCCCCACTTCTAATTCCCATCATCATTATCATCATCAACCAGGAGCCTTCTACATACACACCTCAAAGTAAGTGTACTTTACTGCATGTTTTTTTTTTTTTTTACTTTGTATGTAATTTTCAGTGAGCTGGAACCAATTACCCAAAATCCCATTGAAACAATGGTTTCGGTTAACAAACGACCTTCTGGAACGAATTGTGTTCGTTAACCGAGGGACCACTGTATTGTAACCCATTAAAAAGATTACTGTACAGTACGTATTGATAATACTAACGTCAACAAATGAATTGTAACTTCTGAATCTGTTTTCTTCCTACAGTTACTACAAATGTGTTTATATCCATCATCCTTTTGTATACATATTGGACTTTTATCTTTCAGATCATGAAGATTCTGTGCCCCTCGCTGATGCCACACTAGTAGTACAAGATGGAGAGGAGAAAATATTGATAGTAACTGTGATGCCAGAAGTTATAACTAGTTGGCTTGTTTGTCCTGTGTCAGGTAACTCTATAGACTTTTTATTTTATACCTGTATGTGGCCACATTGATAAGTCTAACTTGGCAAAAATGCCACCAGTGATGTAACAGATGCAAATGAAAAGAAAATTATCTGTAAATCTTCAATTGCATCAGGTACAGCAAAACTTAATTTAGCACTTAGGATACATTTCTGGATATTAGAGCGCTATCCAAAACAATGTTTTAAGGAGTCATGAAACCCCATTGCATATATGGAGAGGCATTCCTGATGATGTTATTTTTTTCACCTATGAGATATACAGGATTGTATATGAAGGGTACAGGTATTAATAAATGCTGATTATTACAGCAACATTTATTTACTAATTAATGAATAACAAATATACAACATTGTATCATGAATGACAATCTTTGATGACCGAGTGTGAGACACAGTAGGAGGTAGGGAGGCAGTGGATATCGTACGGCTTGCTCTGGTTGACAGTAATCTCTCTCTGCATCACTGAAATTATGATTTGGGTGGTAATAATAGAGGTAGTGGTGAGGATGGAGGTGGTGATGGTGAGGAGGTGATCTGTCTATTGGTATCTTTGGTAACACTGTGCCTGCAGCACTGCCAGATGCTGTTGAACAGCTGTTATCTACCCACAAAATTGAGTGTAATTATAAATGAGCAACGATGTATCCGTACATTACATTACATAACATTTTAAAAGTGGAGTGAGAAAGTAGAATGGTGGGGTGATAAGAGAGGTTGAGTGGAAAGGGGTGGTAGCACGTGCCGGGTGTTGCCAAGTGCTCCTCAGCAGCTGATCTCCAACCCCCTATCACACACATTGTGCTTCAGTTAACCGCACACAATTTTATGTCATACAGTAAGACCTACACTTAATATAACAACTTTGTGGTTGTCATGGCTGGTTATAATAGATGATGTAGCCAAGTTGAAAGCAGCACCAACATCCACCTGACACTCACCAGCTTCCAACTGTCTCAACACTTGTAATTTTGCATCCAGGGAGATACTTTTCCATGGCACCTTAGATGCACTAGCAGCATTAAAACTTGTAGGCCATTTTCCAGGCATGATGAGTAAAATATAGTCATTGATATAAAAAAATTGGCGAGTCAACACAAAAGTGTCCACAGTGTAAGAGCAGCAAATTTGTACTGTACTGTAAACAGAGTGCCTGGTACTGATTGGCCAAGCATTTAAAAGCAAAGAGAGTTGCTCTTTGCGTCTTGTGAATGTTTGGATTCCTGACTTTTGATTACATTTGTGTTATTTTTTCCCTAGAGCTCCAAAATGTAAGCAACAGTGCTAGAACAAAATAGTGTTCTATGGGGTAGTGCTATCCTGAGTATTACTGTATGTGTAGATTTAAAGCAACAAATATATAATGAATGGGGTTTTGTTCTTCATGTGGCAACATTGAGAAAGAATTTCGGTGTATAGCTAGGATAAAGGAGCTTATTGGTAAGGTTAGCCTACTGTGAGCTTGTACTGGGTGGCTATCAGTTACCATAAATGATCCATGGAAATGCTTGAATTTTAACCCCTCAAAAATATTACAGTAAAACCTTGATAAATCGGACTTAAATATATTGGAATTCGCTTTTTTCAGACTCTGAGAAAATCTGGTCACCAGAAATACTAAAGAGGGGGGGACATTAAATAAAAAAAAGCTTATGGAATGAACAACACTTACTGAATACTGTACAGTGGTCTAATCAGATTTGCTGTAGGCCTACTGAGAACTTAAACACTTGAGTATGTAAGCAGGCTGTGGCTGATCACTGAGCAGGCATTGCTGCATTCATCAGGTTTATTTAATTTTGATTCAGTATTATATTCTCATATGATTGGCCTCTTATGGTTTATGGTTCACCATGATTAATAAAACATCTTTAGTAATAGAGAAAAAACACAATACTGTATGTAATGTGTAATATGACTTGGAAATAAAAGGATAAGCTGTATCAGAAGGTTATTTTCTCAAGATGCATTATGTGAGAGCTTTCAGCAGACTAGCTTACAACAGCGGCCACTATAACACACTGTATAGTATTTGATATGAAGATACCTTAAAAATGTTATTTACTACCTTTGAGAGTTATATGATGACTCAGTTTGGCTAATTGTACACTTAGACAAATGATTAAAGAATAAACCAGGGTATATGTGGATACATAATACTTTACACTATAATATTACTTATTAAGTGATAATAAATGCAATACAATAGTATTTATTAAGTGGTGATAAATACTCTGCAATAGTATTTATTAAGGGATGATAGATACACAACTGTACTGTACTAATTTACTAAGTGTTGAAGCCATAAATTGTGTTAAGCCGATCAGGTGTTTGTTCTTTGTAAACAAATAAGTATGAATTGCTCTTGGTGTTCAGTGTGGGATTCTTTTTTCAAGAAAACTGATTCTTTTAGGATAATATTTTATCAACCTGGCACCAAATGATCCTAAATTATATGAGAATTGTGGTGGAATTGCATAAAGAAGTGTTAAAGGAAGAAAGGGGGAGGGAGCAACCCCCCCCCCCACCCCCCTCTGCCAGCTGCTCCCAGATAAACATTCGTCTTCCACATACAGTATACTCCTACACTTATTTGTTCTTATTTTTATCTTTATAGTACTATACGGTATACAGTTTTTCTTTATTCATGAGCCAAATTCTGTGGCTACTTACATATAACACTTTACAGTAAATAATAATAATCATCACGGTGACAACAGAGTTGTTTACAACCAGACTTACATGTCTGATTTTCAACCCAGGGAGTTCTGTTTCATATTTTTTTATTGTTGATGTAATATTTTTTTAATAGCCTTGTTACACACTTAAAGACCTTAGTTGTTGAAGTGCAGTACTGTAATAACATAATAACAACTGATTGTCTTTAAACAGTTCAGATAAGTAGTGTTATCTCCAACTACCCCCCGCCCTATATATTCGCTTTTTTCGAACTCGCATTTTTCGGACTGGTGTCTGCCTCAATTATTCCGATTTATCGAGGTTCTACTGTACGTGTATTTAGTTTGACCCCTACTTTTTGCATACAAATTTTAACATAAGAGCTGGCATTATACACGAGAACAGCATATACTGTACTGTACTGCCAATAAACACATCTACCAGGAGGTGCTTTACTGGTATGGATTGCCCAAGTCATTACAATACTGTACTTGCATGCTGTTTGTCATAAAATGTGATTTTATATGTCAATATTTAATTTTTGTTCTGAAATATTAATTTATTTATAAATTTTATTATTGCAGGAAAATTTGAGCATCTGTATGACTTTGCACCACCTGGAAAGACATTTGTTATGAGCCTTAGACTGTTTGAGGTGAAAGGGGCAAGATATCCAGCACTAGCCTGTGGTGGACATGACTGTAGGATTCATGTACTAACATCCAGTAAGATTGGACAATATTACCCAGCAGCTGTATTAAATGGGCATGAAGATTGGGTCATGACACTGGACTTGATGAAAGAAGGTAATTATGTTTAATAATAATGTGACAGTTGTTGTTTAGACTGGTGTGAGCCATAGACATAAAACACAGGGCATGAATCCTGTTATGAAGTGATACAAATTAGATGCAGTTGATCAGGCTTGTTATGGAAGAATGAGATATAGGTATTTACCCCAGATGCTTACATGTCTAATTTCTCCTCATTTACTTATTGTATTTAGGAACTTAGACTCAGATTCTCTTTCAACCTACCCCTGGTTCAGCCACACCTCCACCATCCATCCAGCTTAGCGTTACTACCCACTCTAATGTTGCCCACTTTATGTATCTCGGCTCCCACCTGTCCACCGCCGCAGACATCGATGAAGAGATTCAGCATCGAATCAGATGTGCTTCTCAAGCCTTTGGTAGACTCCGAAATCGTGTCTTCAGCTGTAGGGAGCTGAAATTATCTACAAAGCTGCACGTATATCGAGCAGTGGTCCTCCCCACCCTGCTATATGGCATTGAGACACGGGTCACATGCAGGAGGCACCTCAAGGCACTTGAAAATTTTCACCAACGTAGTCTACGTTCCATCCTCCGAGTTCGCTGGGAAGACAAGAGAACAAATGCCAGTATTCTTGCCGACACCAACTGTAGGAGCATTGAGGCTACCATCATCCATCAAAAACTACGCTGGACTGGCCATGTTACCCGCATGGACGACAGTAGACTGCCAAAGCAGCTACTTTACAGTCACCTAATGAATAGTAAACGTAATGCCGGTGGGCAATTGAAAAGGTACTAGTATATATGTACAGTCTTAAGACAAACCTGAAAAAATGCCAAATCGACCCCCTCACTTGGGAGTCGATTACCCCACATCGTAACGCTTGGAGGAGCACCACACGGGAAGGTATCAATACTTTCAACTTAGCTCGACTGCAAACCGAGGCAGACAAGCGCCAACGCCGGGAAGACGCTGCCACCGCCCCTCCCACAGTAGATGGAGCCCTCCAATGTACAACGAATGTGAACGATGCTGCGGGTCCCTTATCGGCCTCTTTAGTCACCTCAAAACTCGCCAACCTAGGTGACATCCCTAATAGCTCATATCATTATATCATAGCTGGATGATCGTCATACTCAGTTCCGAGTGACAGCAAAGTTATAGTAGTAGTATTAGACACACACACACACACACACACACACACACACACACACACACACACACACACACACACACACACACACACACACACACACACACACACACACACACACACACACACACACACACACACACACACACACACACACACACACACACACACACACACACACACACACACACACACACACATACAAAACACATACACACACACACACATACAAAACACATACAATACAAATAAATAATAATTGGAAGATCCTCTCACAAATAATTAATCCAAAACAAATTTATTAAAAATGTGACAGTTTACCCTCAAGTCCGTGCTCTATTTATAAAGTACTGTAATAGAGCACGGACTTGAGGGTAGACTCACATTTTTAATAAATTTGTTTCTGATTATTTGTGAGAGGATATTCCCATTATTATTTACAGGGGTCCCTTGGTTAAGTAACGCAATTCGTTCGAGAGGGTCATTCGTTAACCGAAAATTTCGTTAACCGAATCCATTGTTTAAATGGGATATTGGGTAATTGGTTCCAGCTCACTGAAAAGTACATACAAAGTAAAAAAAAATGCAGTAAAGGACACTTACTTTGAGGTGTGTATGTAGAAGGCTCCTGGTTGATGATGATGATGGGAATTAGAAGTGGGGATGGAGGAGAAATCACCTTTCAGGGGGCCCATGCTTGATACTGTCATTTCACCAATAAAATGTTAAGTTCACTAGGTGTAATTCAAGATTATTTTTTTTAAATCAACACTGCACTGCACTATATATTGTCAATATGTTAACTAAATTTCAGAATGACCAATAATTTCAATGAAAAATGCAAAAATGTTCAAGACACCAACAAAATAAATGTTCACTCCACTATCAACAAAGCCCAACTGACGCCTTGTGGCTGAGTCAAGCGTCTGATGGGCGCACAAAAAACTAGTTCCCTGTACTGCATATATTAACAATATGTTAAATAAATGTTAAAATTATTAATAATTTTAATATAAAAAATGCAAAAATATTAAAGGTTACAACTTTCTTGATATTTACTCCAATGGAAATGAATGTAAACATAGAACAGATTACTGAATGGGCAGACTATCCCATCAGCTGATGCTCACAACAAAACGCGATGTTCGTAAGAATTTCATTAATCGAATTTTTGTTCATTAACCGAATTGAAGATTCTTATGGAAGGTAATTCGTTAACCAAAATTTCGTTAACCGAGGGACCACTTTTGTGTGTTTTGTGTGTGTGTGTCTACACACACACACACACACACACACATATTTATAATACAGTGAACCCTCGCTTTACGCGGTTTCACTTTACTTTTCACTTTACTCGTTTCTACATAAACCGGAATTCCCACTTTACGCGGTGCATCTACTCATATACGCGGGTGAAGTATAATTTTTTATTTAGCTCATAAAATTCATACAAATTATCCAGCCAGAATATAATTTACATTGCTGGAATTCTTACAATTTGATGATCATTTTGAATATAAGCATCATAGATTTTGCATTAGACATACAAATGTTAGATCTAATGCAAGTATTTTGTTTACTCAGAGCAAATATGTTATCTTTTGTGCAAAATATATGACGTGTATATTCAAAATATTCCTGGTCTTGCAAGGAATCCAGCAATGTCAATTATATTATCCTAACTTTAGTCTGAGGTATTATTTATTACTAAAAATGTAAATACTGTATACTGTTATAACCCAATCATTTCTCTGGTAGGGAGGGAAGGTGGGGGTGAGGGGTAGGGAGGGAGGGAGGGACCCAGGGAGCAGGTGGGAAGAGGGGGGGAGGTGGGGTATTTTGATTAACAGATAGTATTTCGGTAAGTATATTTTGTTTATTTATTGAAGATATTTGTTTTAGCTCATAAAATTCATACAAATTACCCGGCCAGAATATAATTTACATTGCTGGAATTCTTACAATTTGATGATCATTTTGAATATAAACATCATAGATTTTGCATTAGACATACAAATTTTAGATCTAATGTAAGTATTTTGTTTACTCTGAGTAAATATGTTATCTTTTGTGCAAAATATATGACATTTATATTCAAAATATTCCTGGTCTTACAAGGAATCCAGCAATGTCAATTATATTATCCTAACTTTAGTTTGAGGTATTATTTATTACTATACCTTAACATCTAGTGGTTTTCCCCCAAACATTTCTCAGAGAGGGAAGAGCCAGCGAGTGTGAGAAGAGGGGGAGGGAGTTGAGTCCATTATTTGAATGGACATTAACTTGGCAACTGTATTTCTCTATTTCTCTTAAGTATTAATTGTGTGCATGTACCATCATAAAATTAAGATGTTATTTTTACTACAACATAGGTACTGTGTCGGAAAAAGTGGAGTTTGGGGGTCAGCCGGTCTCTATTTCATTTAATCCCATATGTTATGTTGTTCACTTTACGCGTTTCTCGCTTGACGCGGGCCTCCGTGGGTTCAATTGACCGCGTAAAGTGAGGGTTCACTGTACAGGTAAAGGAAATTACAGCAAAAATGCCGGCAACTTTAAAACTACCTACAAACTTTCTTGGGATATCTAGGGCGTCATCCACGAATAACAAGAACCGCGAAATAAAAAATGAGCAGACTTGGGGGGGCCCTGTACTCCATATTCTGCATAATGTTGAGTGCTCTGGTATTCCACGGGTTGTAATTTTTTTTATGGCTCTCCTGGATTTGTAATTCACCCATCTGGTTTTATTCCTTCTCTTTGATTTCTGGGGTATACATTCCTCTACTGTTGTTTCAAGTATTTCCATAAATTCTTGCCATGATTCACCTGTGTTAGATTACTCCTTAATGACATCCCCCTATTTATTCTCTGTATGAGCTGTTAATCTTCACGGTGGAAATCATAACATTTTTCCTCAGGTATTTTATCCCGACTTTCAAAGATTGTATTCCATGATAGTGGACGCTGCCAGAGTTAGTTTTCCCCAACATGGACTTATCCACCATTGCCTCCTCAGCCATCAAGACTGATTCCAGAATATCTCCCCTCATGGGTTTCATCAAATGTTGTGTGAGGAATGAGTCTTACATGAGGTCAAGGAATTCTTCTCCTTCAGCTTGTGTGGTAAGATTTACCCAGTCTATTGTGCCATAATTAAAATCTCCCATAAGGAGAACTTATGCTTTGGATGCTGTCTGGATGATTCTATGAAGATCTGCCACTTTTCCCTCTGATATGAAGTCATACTTATAGCACACAACTTACTTTTATTTCATGCAATCAGATCATACCAATTTGATTCAGATGATCCATTTTCATTTAGCTCATCCTTGCTGGTTACTGTTAGGTGTTCCTTGACATATGCCTTTACCTCTTGTAGCTCTGGTTTTTTTTGCAAACACTATTAACCCCTTCTTTATGGGGATGCCACTTTCGATATTTTATTTGGCTAATGCCAGACAATTTTAGTCAGCAAAGATGGGATCTCGGACATGTGGTTAAAAAACTTTAAGCATTTTCTCCAACTCTCTTTGACTTGGCTGACAGTGAGCTTTGTCCATATACTTGTACAGTAGATTTAACTCCCTCCATTCTGTCACCATATAATCAGTTTGATTTTAAAGTCATTCAGGCTTTGGTTAAATCACTTTTAATTCTAAAAAGGGTAACTTAATACACAGTAATATCTCTGTTAGCCGGAATCCTTCAAACCCGGAACTCACCAATAGCCGGAATTGAAATTTTCTTAGAAAATTGTTCCCAAAGCGGCTTTGGGAACAATTTTCCAAGGGGCAGATTTTATGGAAAATTCTGAGAAAATTTTTCCAGTACCCATAAAATTCTGGAAAATTCCGGGGATGGGGGATTTTTTTCCGGCTTTGAGAGAGTCGTCTCGTTACCCGGACATCTCTCATTCCCGGGAGTGCTCTGCACCAATTGTTCCGGCTAATGGAGATATCACCTGTAATTGGTAATATGACAAATAAAATTTTTACATTTGTAGCAAAAGTGTCTAAAGGTTAAAAAAATCACTTGTCCATTATATATATTTCAGATGATGGTGATATCTTGCTTGCCAGCGGGTCAAAGGATGCCTCAGTACGATTATGGAGGTTTTCAACCATAAAAAATAATGAGCATTTACAAGAATGTGTGAACGCTGGAAAAGAAGAACTGAGATTAAAGAGTGTTATTTTTAAAGCACCGTCAACTGCATCAGATATCACAATATCTGTATTGCTTGATGCCATACTGGCAGGACATGAAGGACTTGTATCAAGAGTATATTGGGCTCGACCTATTGTTACTGGTAAGAACAATACTGTATTATATATCCATTTAGGTAAATAATTAAGTTATGGGTATGAATAATGGTTTATAGCTGCTGTTGTTTGTTATTATTCTTCCTGGCCTTGGTGGGATATATATATACACCTCTGTTAATTGAACGAGATGATGTTTCTTTTTATGTCTGTCCTGCATGGTATGTGCACAATTCACTATGTGAATGGAGGTAATATCATCTGAATCATCTCACGGAGGAGCCACTTTGCTAAAGGGCAGCAGTAGCTACAATTGAGGTTTGATCTTGAAATCCCAGTTTTTGAGAATCCCATTGTCTAGCAGCTTGGAAATCTTCCTTCTTTCCTTGATTTATTGTCTGGGCAGCTGGAACAGAAGTGGATAACAGTTGGTTGGACCCAGATTCATTAATATTCAAGATGGTAAAGAAATCTCCTTGCCATGCTAGGTATTGGACTGGAAATTCATGGCCCCAGTGAGACTTTTAACTTTTGAGTAACTGCTGCACTGAACTGATTCCCCATCATTTAAGGTTGGTTATATAGAAGAAAGGGAAGGGTGATCTGTCTATCTCAGTGGATTGACAGATTAACCTTGGCTTTACATTTTATAACAAGTTGGTCCCAAATATTACAAAGTCTCCCTTTATCACAAGCACTGCCTGGTTATGGGTTTACAAGAGCTGCCTGGTAATGGGTTTACAAGAGCTGCCTGGTTATTGGTTTACAAGAGCTTCCTGGTTATTGGTTTACAAGAGCTGTCTGGTTATTGGTTTCTGGAGAAAAAGGGTTTTCAAGATTAATTCTTCATCATTTTTCGTAAAGTAATTTTTCCAATGTAGACTCCTTAGGTCTCCTAAACTTGTGAATTGTACTGTACTGAGTTTTCTCTCTCCATCTCCTCAATAGAAGGAAGTACACACCAACCCTATAAATTGCTCACCTGCTCCAAGACCCAAGACCGTTCCATCATCATCTGGGAGCCAGAAGGTGGATCCAGCAGCTGTAGAGGAATATGGCTGGAAGTGGCTCGACTCGGGGAAGTTGGTGGCAACATGGAAGGCTTTTATAGCTGTCTGTTTAGTCCTGATGGTATACAAGTTCTGGGATGCAACTATCAGGTAAGAGTCTTGATTCTAAACACTTACCATGAGAATATAACTCAGATAACTAATCCATACTCCGATGATGTGATGGATGCATGCTTCATTACTGATGATGTGATGGATGTAAGCTTTATTACTGATGATGTGATGGGTGTAAGCTTCATTACTGATGATGTGATGGATGTAAGCTTTATTACTGATGATGTGATGGGTGTAAGCTTCAGTACTGATGATGTGATGGATGTAAGCTTCATTTCTGATGATGTGATGGATGTAAGCTTTATTTAATTTTGTTGCACAAATGAGACTTGTACCGTCAAATATACTACAAGAGAATCAGGAAATTATTCAAGTGAATTAAGATTGCATAATACATATTCCCATTTTATGTTGATTTTTCATGCAATAGAATAAGTTAACTTAGGCAGAACTTCTTGCAAGTTCATCCCCGACATTTACTCACATTATGTTTCAGTCTTTTCAGTCTTACTCTCTGAATACTTTAAACTCTTATTTCCTTTGTATTCAAGTTCAGGATTTCAATTCCATGATGAACCAATACTGTACAGTCAACCCTCGCTTTACGCGGTCCCACTTTACGCGTTTCCACGTTTACGTGGTACCCTGCCGAAACCGGAATGCTCACTTTCCGCGGTGTGTGTACCCTTTTACGCGGAGAGCGGCGCGAACAGGGTGCGCACAAGGTCGCCCAGTCATCAAAACATTACCGAGTTCTTCACCCGCCACCCACCACAGCCGGCCCAAGTCAGTGATAGTGATAATGATAGTGAGGATATGGACTTATATGGACTTTGGGGGTTTGACAAAGAGGCCCTGCAAGCCTCTGTGGTGGATAGTGATACAATTGATACAAGTGATACAGGTGAGGGCCAATAATCTGCCCTCTGCCTCGGAACCAACCCCCCATCCCCGTGTGCCCAGCCATCTTTTCTACTAATGTAATTGTTAAACAACCTAATATTATTGATATTTCTCTTAATTATTAATTGTGTGTGCATACCATCATAAAATTAAGAAGTTATTTTTACTACAACGTAGGTATTGTGTCTGAAAAAGTGGAGTTTGGGGGTCGGCCCGGTCTCTATTTCAATTAATCCCATATGTTATGTTGTTCACTTTATACGTTTCTCACTTTACGCGGGCCGCCGTGGGTTGAATTAACCGCGTAAAGTGAGGGTTCACTGTATAGAATTTATAGTAATATCCCTTTTTTTTGCCAACTGCTTTGCCCTATCACCAGTGGTGTCTGGAGTTGCTGGTGAAAATGTAATACTCTATAGGCAATTTGATTTCCTCAGATAAATTCATTGTGTTACGAATGACACCAGGGAGAAATGAATACAACACACATTTTTTTTTTTTTTTTTTTTTTTTTTGCTCCAAAGTAAAAAGTAGAGTAGAATACAGTAATAAATTTAATGGAATTCAGTTTTACATTCTCCTCAACCCTTGTAAACACATCTTCTTGTGTCTGTTTGTGTTGTTGTGTTCATCATTTATCTCCCAGCATCACGTGTTACAGTCTACCTCTGATTGCCCTCTGGGTCACACACACATATTGTAATGACTGGCTCTTCTTTCTTGTTTCTTGATTTAGTCTTTAATAATATATAATCCTCACCTCTATGAATGCAAATTATATCTCATTTTATGACCAAGGAAAAGAGACAAGTGATATGGGATTCCTCTCTCTTCCCCTGAAGGAGTATCTGATTGGCAGCAAAATGTAGGGATTGATGTTTTTGACCCAAGAACAGTACATGTAAATGACTGAGGGATTTAAGTAAAACAGATTAATAAGTAAAACAAATTAATTTAGGTTACTTGCTAGTACAGTATACCTATTGACTTACTGGCTTTCAAAGCAATCACAAGATCAAGGTCAGAGCTTGCTGAAGCAAGCCCTGATTCGAGTGGGTAACTACCTCTGTATTGAGCATTAGCTTTAAACCATGTAGAAAGTTTCCTTCCCATAGAATGTAAATGATCCCTCAGATGAGACAGTATCTGATTGGGTTTTGTTTGTGTGGGTGATCTCACAGGCCAATTTTCTCTTTTCCACAGCTCTAAAATGGAATATCATACTTCAGCCCTGTTTTTCACTACTGTACTTAGAAGCCACATAAAAAGATGGATAAATTAATAGAGTAAGTGTTCTTATTTTATTTGCCAGACTTAATGTAAAATGCTGGAACAAATAAATTATTTTCAGGGTGGACTTCATCTTTGGGAGCATCAGGCTGGGGTGTGGAAGCCAAGTGTAGTTGTTGGTGGACACTTTGATCAAGTTGCTGACATTACCTGGGATCCCTTTGGCAGGTGTGGTGACTTTATGTTAAGTGTAGTCATGCATATAAATGTCCTCATGTACATTTGCCTGCACTTTTACCTGGTACAGTGACTGGCACACTTTTGTGAGATATGGCACTCTTTGTTTGGTTACGTCATATTAAAACTCCCGAAATGACGCTAAGAAACCTCATAATAGTAGCCAGACTAAGGATGCTAGATAAACATTCCACAGAGTTGCCACATCTCACAGAACGTGCCAGCCACTGTACCAGGTGCAAGTACAGGCGACCTTTCCTAACCTATAAAATAGTTAAGAATAGCTTTTGAGTTTATTGGGGGTCCTCCTCATCCGAATACCAAAAACAACACCATCACATACTAAACACCAAAAACACGACTAAGTAAGCTTTTTATATTTTTAGGATTTTTGTAGGTTAGGTAAGATTTTCAAAGGCTTGTTTGGTGTTCTTTTAAGCATTTTACTACTGCTTCCAAGCCCTACCCACTTTGAACAACCAATATTGTTAGTAACTGGGGGGGGGTGTTTCATACCTCCATAACGGCTCATTTGCGATGGAAATCGAGGTCAGATTCGTGTGAAACAACCCAAAATATACTAGTAAAACATTTTTTTTAATAGTTTTCATGGATGACAAAAAACAAATATTTACCCTGTACAGTAATACCTGTACTTTACATTATATAAGTTATAAAAATAATACAGTAATCCCTCACACTTCTCAACCTCTCAGATCCGGATTTCGGTTGGTCTGGACTAACGTCTGGATGTATCAAATTTCTATCCGGTCTCTCTCTCTCTCAGTCCGTATGCCGTGTTTACTCCCCTGCTGCTAAAATGGACCTATTGTAGTCCGTGTTGTCTGCTGAGCCAAGCTGTGTTGTGTTATGGTTGTTTTTCAACTCGTATTTTTGGGTAGATAACGTAACTTTCTTCATCTATTTTTACTCAGTTACATGCACACCATCCTACATACATACAGTAAAACCTTGATAAATCGGACTTCATTATATTAGAATTCGCTTTTTTTGGATTCTGAGACACACTGGTCACCAGAAATACTAAAAAAAAATCCATGTTTTAATAAATGGGGAAGATTAATAAAAAAAATCTTAGCAAATGAACCAGACTTACTGAATACTGTACAGTGGTCTAATGAGATTTGTTATAGGCCTACTGAGAACTAAGACACCTGAGTATGTAAGCAGGCTGTGGCTGATCACTGAGCAGGCGTTGCTGCATTCATCAGGTTTATTTAATTTTGATTCAATATTATATTCTCATATGATTGGCCTCTTATGGTTTATGGTTATCATGATTAATAAAACATCTTTAGTAATAGAGAAAAAACACAGTACTGTATGTAATGTGTAATATGACTTGGAAATAAAAGGATAAGCTGTATCAGAAGGTTATTTACTCAAGATGCATTATGTGAGAGCTTTCAGCAGACTAGCTTACAACAGCGGCCACTATAACACACTGTATAGTATTTGATATGAAGATACCTTAAAAATGTTATTTACTACCTTTGAGAGTTATATGATGACTCAGTTTGGCTAATTGTACACTTAGACAAATGATTAAAGAATAAACCAGGGTATATGTAGATACATAATACTTTACACTATAATATTACTTATTAAGTGATGATAAATACACTACAATGGTATTTATTAAGTGGTGATAAATACACAACTGTACTGTACTCATTTACTAAGTGTTGAAGCCATAAATTGTGTTAAGCCGATCAGGTGTTTGTTCTTTGTAATCAAATAAGTATGAATTGCTCTTGGTGTTCAGTGTGGGATTCTTTTTTCAAGAAAACTGATTCTTTTAGGATAATATTTTATCAACCTGCACCAAATGATCCTAAATTATATGAGAATTGTGGTGGAATTGCATAAAGAAGTGTTAAAGGAAGAAAGGGGGAGGGAGCAACCCCCCCACCCCCTCTGCCAGCTGCTCCCAGATAAACATTCGTCTTCCACATACAGTATACTCCTACACTTATTTGTTCTTATTTTTATCTTTATAGTACTATACAGTATACAGATTTTCTTTATTCATAAGCCAATTTCTGTGGCTACTTACATATAACAGTTGTTGACAACCAGACTTATATGTAATATTCTTTTAATAACCTTGTTATACATTTAAAGACCTGAGTTGTTGAAGTGCAATAATAACAAAACATTAACTGATTTTCTTTAAACAGTTCAGATAAGCTGTGTAATCTCCACCTCCTCCACCCCGATTTATCTGGGTTTTACTGTACGTATTGTGAAAAAAGTGAAAGAAATAAGTGTCCTAAGAGCAAACACATAACGGGAGGAGAGCTGATCTTCATTATTATGATGAAACGGAGTGTATGCAAAGGGTGACTGTGTTAAACTTTCATTTGGCTTTTATTTGCTGATTTGGCAATACAGTTTTTTGTTGGTATATTATTTTTATTTATTCCTTACATTTCCTGAAATTGTACCTTATATATTATTTTAAGGAAACTATGGCTACAGGAGGAAAATGTACACAAAAGCTTTTTCCTAAATATTCTATGCCATAAAATATGGTACAGGGTATTTGTTTTTTGTTTTACTGTATTAGCACCAAACTTCTATATAAATGATGTGTGTGTATGTGACATCACTTTGAGGGAGGGAGGGTTGAAGGTGGAGGGAGGGAGAGCTCCTCAGTTATCATGCAGCTTACTTTCTACCCGCCCATACACACCCATGTTCTTTATTTTTTCTTATTTTATAGTTTTATATTATATTATCTTTGTTTCTAAGCCACATTAGAGTATTTTAATGATTTTTCTACAACTTTTATAGCATTAATGCTCCAGAAATTGTTGTGAAACATGGCACTGTGTGTGTGTGTGTGTGTGTGTATACGTGCTTGCATGCGTGCGCTGTATGTGATGTCATGGGACGCAGCTGGAATGGCGAGTCAGCCACCCCACACGCTTTCACTTTCCACACAAACACCCATAAGAAAATAAGGAGTCTGCAATAGGCTGGTTGGTCTGTGCATGGCACCTCCTCATAATCTTAGTTTATTGCTTTATATTATATTTTATAGTTGTATATTATATTTTCTTTATTTCTAACCTACATTAGAGTAGTGTAATGATTTTTCCACAACTTTTATAGGATTACTGTTGACTTTTAGCAGTTGTGGAACATATAGGGTACTAATTTTCCCTATAAGATTAAGCAACATGCATTCGTTCCCCGGTTCATCCGGACATTTACCACATCTTGACACCCTCTTCCCCCACATCTGGACACCCTCTCCCTTCTTAATTTTCCAGATGTGCGAGGGTTTACTGTACAGCAAGTAAAATTTTGTGGTCATAACATACAGGGCGTCCTCACTTAACATCGGGGTTACGTTCCTGAAAACATGACGTTATGCGAAACAACATTAAGTGGATCAATTTTCCCCATAAGAAATAGATAAAATACGGGAATTACATTCCCCAGCCTCTCTTTGCCCCATGAAAACATTACATATACAGGAAATCATTGCCATTTCTATAGAAAACAGTATAATATATACAGTATATAGAACTACAGTACTAAGTTTGTATTGGTACTCACTGATGGGCAGAGGTGGTAGAGCGTGTGGTGGGTAGTGGAGCGAAGGAGGAGGACGGCGGGAGGGGAGGAGGGGGGCGGGAGAGGAGAAGGGTGGTGAGTCACTGAGACTGCGGCTGCCTCCTCCTCCTCCTGCTCTGACTGGGGTTCCTCTGCCACTGCTTGCTCCTCCTCCGTTGATGTTTGCTCCTCCTCCGTTGTTGTTTGCTCCTCCTCCGTTGTTGTTTGCTCCTCCTCGGCTGCCGGCTGTTGTGAAGAAGCTGCTTCTGCTGTCCTGCGACGAAAAAATGAATTCAGTGTTGACTGCTTGGTGCTACTGATCATCTTCTCCTTATAGATCTCGGTGTAACAACTAAGACTGTCCTCAATGCTGCATTGAACCTTTGAATTACGTTCTCCGTTTGGGTCGTCATCTAGAATGATTTGCATTGCTTGCTGGAACATGTTCAACGATTCTGCCATCCTCTTGGAAGTTAGCATTCGTTGAGGTTCTTCTTTGTCGTCGTCGTCGTCTTCTTCAACGGGACTGTGTTCTGTTAGTTGTTGCAGATCTTCGTTGGTGAGCTCTTCTGTATGGGATGCCAGGATGTCCTCAATATTCTCTGATTCCAGCTCATCAAAGCCTGCCTGCCTAGCCAAGCTGAGGATATCCCTATTCACAGCTGGGACTAAGTCCGTCAATCCCGTAAAACTGTTGACACATTCGGGCCACAGCTTACGCCACACACCATTCAGGAACTTTCTGAAACCTCTTCCCATGCCTTGCCAATGTTGTCAATTGCATGAAGAATGTTGAAGCTGCGTCAATATTCTCGGATCGTAGGTTTATTTTCTCCGTCTGTAGCCTTGAGCAGTTGGGACATGGTACGGCGTAAATGTGGCGATGACGCCTTGGTCCATAGGCTGCATCAATGCTGTCGTGTTGGGAGGCAGGAATACAACTTATACACTGTCATGCAAGTCGTCGAGATTGGGAGGATGAGCTGGAGCATTGTCAAGGATCAGAAGAATTTTGAAGTTAAGGTTCTCCTTGGCACAGTATTCCTTCAGTGCAGAGACGGCGTCCACTTTCAACCACTGGCTAAATATGGCGCTGGTTATCCAGTTGATCCTTAGGGTAACCTTTCAGGGCCCATGGGTTGGCAGCGCGAGAAAACAGCATAGGCTTTAGCTTGAAGTCACCTGCAACGTTCGTGCCAAGCAGCAGTGTCAAGCGGTCTTTTGCTACTTTAAAACCTGGCGCTCTTTTCTCCTCCTTGGAGATATAGGTCCTCTCAGGCATCCTCTTCCAAAAGAGACCAGTCTCATCCACATTGAAGACTTGCTTCGGTGAGTAACCTCCTCGCTGGATAGTCCATTTGAATTCTGGCCGGAATGTCTTGGCAGCAACTGTATCTGAACTGGCAGCTTCACCAGTCATCTTTATGTTTTGGACGTTATACCGACGCTTAAATCGTCTCTTCCTTCAATCCTTCACCCTCTGTTTCCTTCATGTTGTTAAACAAGGATCTGGCCTTATGCTGGATAACCATAAGGCTCACAGGGGCATTGCGTTGATTCTGGTCCTCCATCCACATTGCCAGCATCTTTTCCACCTTTTCTATCAAAGTGCTTCTAGTAAGAGTCGTCTTAGTAGCACTCGGAGAAGAACCACTTCCAGCACTAACCTTAATCTTGTCAGCGTTGGTCCTGATAGTACGCACCGTTGTGGGGGTTAGACCAAGCACAGCGGCTATGTCCACAGCACATTCCCCTTTTTCAAATCGGATTAATACATCCATTTTCATAGCAAGGTTAATGGTCTTATGTTGCCTCTTTACTACACTAGCATCAGTAGCACTTGATGAGCGCTTGGGAGCCATTTCGAATGGTTAGAGTACAGTTTTAGAGCAAAAGCACTTGAGCCCATACGAATGATGTGAAGTCGTAACAAAGACTGGCTTGGCGTCGCTTGGAGACGCTGTGACGTTCCTCGAGTGAGAGCAGCGCGCCGAGCCGAGAGAGCGTAGAGTGGCCAGACAAGAGAGGGTGATGCACCATAGAAAGTAGTCCGTGACAACGCAAAACGACCTTGGTTCGGATCACCGGGACATTAAACGAATTTTTGGTCCCTAAAGTTGAGCGACGTAGTATCGAAACAACGTTAAGCCAGGACTTAATGTGTCTTCTATCTTCCATGTATAATATCTAAGTCAATGGGTTAGTCGGCCCCATTATTCATTCTTTCGTTGTTAGTCGTGGTCATCGGGAAGACATCCCCGATGAACACTAAGGATTCCCTTATTACCCTAGGGCCTAGTCTGTATGATATATATTTTCCCAGGTACCTTTTGTCAACCAGTAAGGACCAGACCACCCGTATGCATGCTCCATGGAAGAAGTCAGAAAGTGAGGTAAGTAAAATAAAGTGTAGTACTGTAGAAGCCATTTCTTAACCTCAATACTGTACTTTTTCTCTTCCTCAAGTTGAAGTAAAATTACTAGCCTAAAAAAAGGCATTGAGTAAAAGTAAAAATTACTTTCATCTGAAAAGTAATTAAAAGTATAAAGTAGAAAGTACTTATCTTGATTGATTGTTTATTGCTTTTCAATTTCTATTTTCACTAAAATAAAATAAATATGAGGAATTGGTAATTTAATAACACTCTTTTAATCATATTACTGTTGAAAAAATAATAAGTGTAACATCAAGTTTAAATAACATCTTAAATGGCCTACATTTATTGAATCAAAGGTCATATGAAGTGTTAAACATCATTTCTTTTTACAGATAGTTTGGCATGAAGTGGGCCGCCCGCAGGTTCATGGGCATGACTTGGTCTGCATCTCTACCCTTGGAAAATATAAGTTTGCATCAGGAGCAGAGGAGAAGGTTGTACGTGGCTTCATTGCTCCGGCCAATTTCATCCGTAATTTTGGTCAGATCTGTGGCATCAATGTTGCTGAAGATATAGGTGAGAATACTTAATGAAGCCCTTCTGGTCACTCACCACCAACTAAAATTTGTCATTGAGTCTATCTGGACTATATTTCCCATCAAAAAGAGAAAGTTTGCCAGGTGACTCACATGATACACCACACCTCTCTGTTCCCATACTTCCTTGATACCACCTTCACCAGTTAGGATATATAGTGGCTAGTTCATGAAGGCTACTTCACTAACTCAGGTCCATTGAAAAAGGCAGCAGCATGGCACCTTGGGAGTGAATAACCTTTCAAGGCAGTGAAAAATATCTTACACCTAGGCAGATTTTTTTGTGTGTGGAGAATTCTCACTGCTAAGTTTGTCTAAGTGAAATAGTAAGATAACACCATACTTCCAAAAAGGATATTAATTTTTACTGTTTTGCTTAATAATAAACCAAAAGTGAAAAATCATTGTTTGAGAACTATCTGGGACTTATTGAAAAAGTCAATAGGATCTTTGAGGTAATAATACAGACATTTATAAGGAAGATTCTACCAAGTGTCTCATACAGAAGTCATTAAAGGAAGATGCAATTATTATTGGCAATTATGTTATTTACATGTATTTTCTTCGCACTAGTGACACTAAACCCACGTGGTCCGCCTGGTTGGTTTATGCTTGATCACTGAGTGTCAAGGCTGCTGTTTAGGTCTAGGGGTAACTTATCCTTCTATTGTGATAGCAAGTACAGTACTCGTGAACACTTGTTCTCACCTTGATAGAGTCAAATAGATGATATGAACTAAGATTTAAACAATATGTTTACATTAACTGCATCTTAAACATAAAGTAGAGTGGGATGACTCACCACTAATCCAGACAACAAAGCTTTCTACCGACAATACTTTCCGATACACATAGACAACAGACAATAAATAAATAAGTAAATCTACCTCTTAGTCACGTTATCAATGTGTCAAACAAGTTCCAACACCTAAAGATTGAGTAGGCTGTTTTAACTTTTGTTATCCTATTTATCAGTAGGATGTGGCATTTGAGTGGATACTGTATTTGCCCAGGGCTCCCCCAGTCTACCCAGCTGTGAATGGGTAATCAACTTCATAGATGGGGAAGTGAAAGTAGCCTAGTGCAGAAGGCTTAGTATTCTGTGTGCTGTAATCACATTATCTTTTCAGTTATAAAGTAAGATTTAAGGTTTAGTCATCCATTTTTGCTTTCCGGACAAATAATTATAAAATAAATTTTAAATTCCTGTCCCAGAAAAATGTGAAGCTGGAGAAGGAGCATCAGTGCCATCTCTGGGTCTGTCCAACAAGGCAGTTATGGTGGCTGACCTTCAAGAAGAACAAGAGGAGGGACAAGAAGAAGTACACACTTACTTCAAACCTTTAACTCTCTTTGGTCAGTAAGATGAATTACCAATAACTGTTTGCATGAATTAATTAATTTTAGGTTATAAGAGTAAGTTGGAAAAGGTGAAAATGTAGAGAAAGCTTTTGACTAAGTGAACAGAGATGGTCTTCTAAGAGGTTTTGGCTTGTAGCAAAAAAAATGGTAAGTGATGACAATGATTATCAACAGAGGAAATAGTGCATGGTTGAATTAATTGATTTAAGTGTTGGAATGCATTCTGACAATGAAATTCTCCTGACTTAAATTTTGAATCCTGAAATCAATGCCATGAAAGCCCATCTTCCTGGGAAATACATTTAATTCCTTGTGTACGGGTTGTCTCCCAGTTGAATAAAATCGTCTGGTGTTGGCTAAATAAAATATTGAAAGTGGGGTCCCCGTAGTGAAGGGGCTAAAATGTCACATGCCACTGGAGCCTGAAGTGGGTCTCAGACTCCATGTTTTATTTTGAATCCCATTTCAGGATAATGTAGATGGAGATTATCCACAGTCTTGTTTCTTACTATGAACAACCCCTGGGTCCAGCCCCACACTTTATTGCATAGATAGGAATAATTGTGAGATAGGTTAAACTTTGGTGGCACAGATTTGTTATCAGTAGTTGATGGTACTGTACAGTATTTGTTAAGTACAGGTTGTGACCCTCTTTTATCCGGTATTGCATCAACTGGCAACTCTCAGTTATTGTTACTTCTCAACAAACAGCATGTTCAACTGCCATGTACAGTGGTTGTCCACTTGGCCAGTCTCAGTTATATCATTATTTCATGACATTCAAACAATAATTATCCCATAAAACTCAATAGTCAAAAACTGATTGATGGGTCATCTTACATTACTATGCTGCAGTAATCATTCCATTTCACGGAATATTGCGTGCTGGTCGATTCTGTAAAAGGGAAGATTCTCCTAAATTGAATACAGTTATACCTCTGGCAGTGAAGTGGATATGTTTATGAAATTCACTTTATCCTTGAAAACCTCGTTGTCTGAGTTAGATTCAAATGGGAATAAGTTGCATCCTTCATTATTCTGTATCCTGCATACTCCTAAACCCTGGACAGTTCGTAGGAGAAGATCCATATATTTTAAATACATATATACTTTATGCTGTATGTTTGAAAATGATTCTATAATAGATGTTATTTTATTTTCAGCACCACCAACAGAAGACCAGTTAATGCAGAATACTTTGTGGCCAGAGGCTGCCAAGCTATATGGTCATGGCAATGATCTTATTACCTTAGCTGCCACATCTGACGGGGCCATCCTCGCATCTTCATGTCGAGCTGCTAATAATATGGATGCTTATATTATCCTTTGGTAGGTAGTTTCATGTTTTCCATCACTTAACTTTTATGACATGACAAGTTTGATGCACTTAACCATTTTTGGACGTACATACAACATTTGCATTCGGAATGACCGGAATATGCGATCCCCATCCACAAAGGGTTAAAGGAGTAGCAACTTGATCACTTGTCTTATTGTTATCTTGTTGTTCCCACTGTAGAGATAGCAAGGCTAATTGCTTTTGCATAGTACTGTCGCTAGGTATTTTACCTGCATCAACTTTTCATAAAACTGGTTTGACATTAACTGCAGCATTTACATCCTCTTTAGGGATAAGGGTTATGTGTGTATCTGGGGCTGTATAGGAGAAATGAGGCATATAAAGTAGCAAGGGCATATGTCTGAATACCTCAGCTCAGCTCAATTTCCAGGCTGTACTGCATGTTTTCTGCCTTTGTTTGTTTGATGGGGTTTGTACCATGCTGGAGGGGTATCCATCCACGTTGCCTGACATCATTATCTGATAGAGGAATGCTGGGGCTAGGGACTAACATAGAAAATGGGAAATTGAGAAACCCAGTGATAGGCATATGCTATTGTAAACTCTTCAATTTCTTACTTAGAACTTAATTTCATGGTATGTGTTTTATATGTATTAATTGTTACCATGATTTTTTTCAGGGACACAACAACGTGGCATAAGATTGATGCTTTAGTTAAACATCGTCTTACTGTGACACAGATGGCATTTTCTTTTGACGATAAATATCTTCTGTCTGTGTCACGAGATCGCACTTGGACAGTTTTTAAAAAGGATTCAGCTGAAAATTTTGCAGGTAATGTAGCTAATACAATCCTGTTTTGTTTGGCTAACATGTAGAAATATGACTCATAATGATCATGCAATTTGTCTGATCCCTTCTTCATTTTGTATACAGTATGTATTAATCTTGTCATGAGTTCAATAAAAACCTAATTTTCCCAGAGTTTTATAAAATGCAAACTGGTAAAACCCAGGTCAACACTGCTCTCTTTTGTGGTCCTTTAACATGATGCCATCTCACATGTTGGAAATTTTCCATTGCTACAAAACAAAAGTAAAAAATTAAAATTGTTCAAGCTGTTCATAAGTTCTTTGTGATAACAACCAACATGTATCGGTCTCTTCTTTTCTTCAACCTTCATTCTCGTCCGGTGAGAAGAGAGTTTGCTGATTGTCACTCTGCCATTTTTTAACACTCGTCACGCTCGTGTTTATGGCTAGAATCTGAGCCTTTTCCTCCTTTGATCAGGGATGCGATTTCTCCTTTTTTTTCAGTTCTCTGGTTTTCCCATCGTTTAAGGCGACCCACGTGAATCGTGGAGATCCATTGAGAAAAATTTGGGGGGGGGGGGGTGGTATGACCATGACGAGAGAAATGTTTGATAATTAATAATAATTGACCCTCTAGGGTCGATGGGTCTGGCGCACGAGGACGATGAGCCAGTATACTGAGTTTAGTGGCCGCACTCTACATGTTCATGCATTACATCATATACTCTATTTCTCATTGGCTGAGTATTGCTTGGTTTGCATTCCATTCTTTGATTCTTTAGTATTTTATTGACCAAAGAAGCATTATAATATGCCCCTTCACCCTATCCACTTGATCCACCCTCTCCCACCAGGGACTAAGCCTTTTTCAATATACAGTGAACCCTCACTTTACGCGGTCAATTGAACCCACGGCGGCCCGCGTAAAGTGAACAACATAACATATGGGATTAATTGAAATAGAGACCGGGCCGACCCCCAAACTCCACTTTTTTAGACACAATACCTACGTTGTAGTAAAAATAACTTCTTAATTTTATGATGGTATGCACACACAATTAATAATTAAGAGAAATATCAATAATATTAGGTTGTTTAACAATTACATTAGTAGAAAAGATGGCTGGGCACACGGGGATGGGGGGTTGGTTCCGAGGCAGAGGGCAGATTATTGGCCCTCACCTGTATCACTTGTATCAATTGTATCACTATCCACCACAGAGGCTTGCAGGGCCTCTTTGTCAAACCCCTCAAAGTCCATATAAGTCCATATCCTCACTATCATTATCACTATCACTATCACTGACTTGGGCCGGCTGTGGTGGGTGGCGGGTGAAAAACTTGGTAATGTTTTGATGACTGGGCGACCTTGTGCGCACCCTGCTCGCGCCGCTCTCCGCGTAAAAGGGTACACACACCGCAGAAAGTGAGCATTCCATGTTCGGCAGGGTACCGTGTAAACGTGGAAACGCGTAAAGTGGGACCGCGTAAAGCAAGGGTTGACTGTAACTAAGTTTCTATAATAATTTTACACTTTCTGATGATCACAATTTATTCTAAAACCCATGCCATATTTCATAATTGTATAGGCAACTCAGTCGGGCGTATTTCTGCCCCCCAGGGGGTCAGGGCTGTAGGGTATGTGTGTGTGTTTTCCCCTGGGGGTCAGGGCTGTAGGGCATACGTGTGTGTGTGTGTGTCCACCAGGAAGTCAGGTCAGGGCTGTAGGGCATATGTGTGTGTGTGTCCCCCAGGAGGTCAGGGCTGTAAGGCATGTGTGTGTGTGTCCCCCAGGAGGTCAGGGCTGTAGGGCATGTGTGTGTGTTCCCCAGGAGGTCAGGTCAGGGCTGTAATGCATGTGTATGTGTGTCCCTCAGGAGGTCAGGGCTGTAAGGCATGTGTGTGTGCGTCTCCCAGGAGGTCAGGTCAGGGCTGTAGGACATGTGTGTGTCCCCCAGGAGGTCAGGGCTGTCGGGCATATGTGTGGGTTCCCCAGGAGGTCAGGGCTCTAGGGCATATGTGTGTCCCCCAGGAGGTCAGGACTGTAAGGCATGTGTGTGTGTCCCCCAGGAGGTCAGGGCTGTAGAGCATGTGTGTGTGTACCCCAGCAGGGGGACCCTATGATGTGTAGGAACATAAAACTCTCCAACAGTAGGTATGAAGCATGTTAAAGCAGAAGAGGTTGCAGCAGGAAGAAAATAAGAGGAATTTTTTGTTAAAGAAACAGAATCAAAGAAAACAGAGTGTGAGGAAATGGCTCAAAAATCAAGGAAGGGCAGAGGGGCCTTCCAGCAACAAAAACAGAAGCATTTACTCTCCCTGAAAAAAACTTGCTGGTGCAATTAAAAATTAGAAAAAACAAAACCAAATGAGTGAATATTACATGGAAAAGAAAACTAAATACAGGGGGCCACCAATTTTGTGGAGATTAGGTTCTCAAAGTGGCCGCAAATTGCCAAATCCGCGAATAACATTTGCAGACTGGGGGTACATTTTTACTTGTGTACAAAGAAATGTATACTGTATTCCCTTTATGTGTTTGCCCTTAGGACAATTATTTATTTTACCTGTATTGCAAATGTATGTGTGTGTGTGTGTAGACACACACACACAAAACACATACAAATAAATAATAATGAGAAAATCTTATCACAAATATTCAGAAACAAATTTATCGACCCCCTGACGGAGACACGATGATCCACCCCAGACTCGCCAGATATTTTGTAAATAATATTGATTATGTGTTAAAGGAATATCCTTCCTTCCTTAGGCTTTAGTAAGCCCCTTTATAATATTTATACTGTATATACTTGTCACACTTGCCAGATGCTTCTGGTGTCATTGTACAGGGGTACCTAGTGACAGCACTAGGATCCCGCTTCCTCTATCAAGGAATAAACAATTGAAATTGAACAAATTTATTACAAATGTGACAGTCTATCCTCAAGTCCGTACTTTATTAATTAAGTAATAAAGTACGTACTTGGGGGTAGACTCACATTTAAAACAAAAAAATTCTGATTATGTGTGAGAGGATTTTCCCATTATTATTTATTTGTATGTGTTTTGTGTGTGTGTGTCTACACACACACACACACACACACACATATTTACAATACAGGTAAAGGAAATTACTGTCTCTAGAACGAATGGCTCGCTGTTCCAGTCGCGAAAATGCTGGCAACTTTAAAACTACCCACAAACAGTCTTGGGTACATCCAGGGTGTCATCCACGAATAATAGAGGACTGCAAAATAAAAATTTGCAAACTTGGGGGCCCCTGTATTTTGTATGTATATATTATGGAACATGCTTATTTTTCTTATTTTAGTACACTAGATTCGCAACTTAAGCGTATTTTTCTTATGCGGTTTCAACTATACGCGGATTAAATTAGGTTACAATTTCCAATTTCAAGCTCAAAACTTTCAAAATGGGTCGCAAGCCCACCAAGAGATAGCCCACCAAATGCACCACCCTTCCATCCCACCTGGCCACCTCTGTCTCTCTCAGTTGCCGCGTGTGTATCGTCAGAGTAACACCTGCCTCGTGTGTGTGTCAATTTAGTGCGCTTAAACCTCTCTCATACTCGTACATAATGCCCAAACACAAGCCAAACTCTGCCTCTGGTCCTCCAGTGAAGAAACGATGCTCTGTGATGACCCTGAAAGAAAAAGTGGCCATGTCAGACTTAATAAAAGGTGGCGTGTCGATCGCTGCTGTGGCACGGAGGTACGGGCGGAATGAATCAAGCGTGAGATCCATCGAGATTCGGGAGAGGGAAATTCGTGAAACCGTGTCTACAGGTGTCTCATTTACTGCTAAGGTGACTAGCCAGGTGAGAGACGTAACTCTAGTGAGGGTGGAGAAGGCATTAAACATCTGGGTGGAGGATATGAACCAGAAACATGTCCCAATCGATGGCAACGTGCTCAGGGAGAAGGTACTCAGTCTTTATGACCAGTTTAAATCTGAGGTTCCTGAGGGCGAAGCATCCACCAGCTCTGAGAAGAATTTTAAAGCCAGTGCAGGTTGGCTCAACAGTTTCAGGAAACATTTTAACCTGAAAAATATTAGAATCACTGGCGAATCGGCATCGATGGATGAGGCGACTGCATGGCTCTTCCCAGAAGAATTCAGGAAATTAGTTGAGTGATTTAAGGGCAATTTAGGGGATTTTTGGGAGTGTTTCTGACTTTACACATTTTTTGGCTTTATGCCGAGTCCCAGGAACATAACCCCCGCGTAAGTTGCGAGTCTACTGTACTGTACTACCGAAACCCCAGTCCTTTTAGTTTATCTTCTCTCAATAATGGTGCACAATTAAAAATATTAAACAAATTCAAGTTTAGTAACTACTAAAATTTTTAAAGGAATTATTGAGACTACAGGTATATGCATGAAAAATATAGTTGCAATAAACATACAGGGTACATGCTTGATTTTGGGTACTGTGCATTTTAACTATTAGAAGTTCACAAAAAGAGTAACAATGTGAGAAATTAAGTTAAATACGGTAAAAGATTCCCTGGTAGGTGTTTCCCCGGACCCCCCAACTTTTTTTTTTTTTTTAGATCCAATCACATCTCTGTTTGTTAGATATGACCAAGCCATCTTGGGATACTACACATAGAAATACAGGGCAAGTAAAGTAGCTAATACACATGAAATTACGGGGCCAAGTCGTGAAGTGACACAATGTAATACACTCCTACTTGCTGTTCAGGGTACACTACTGCTGCCTCCTATCTTACTCTCATCACTACGCATAGCCAGACTTACGAAAAATTAAATTTGTAATATGTACAGTGGCCCCTCCATTAACGAACTCAATCCGTTCCAGAAGGTCGTTCGTTAACCGAAACGTTCGTTAACCGAAACCATTGTTTCAATGGGTTTTTGGGTAATTGGTTCCAGCTCACCGAAAATTTCCTAACTTCAACAAAAATGGCGGAAAAATTTACTTACTTTGAGGTGTGTATGTAGAAGGCTCCTGGATGATGGTGATGATGTGCATTTGAAGTGGGAGGAGAAGAGAAGAAGGAGAAGGAAGAAGTGGAGGTGGATGCTTCTTGGAAGGTGAGTCACCTTCCATGAAAATGTCAGGAACCTCTGGACTGACAGATTCTCCACCATGAACATCCTCTCTCCTTCTTGAAGTGGAAGGCTGAGGGCTAGCATCTTGTTCCCTCTGCCTTTTACTGAAGAAAGTGTCAATTGTGGTCTGTGGGGCATCTGTCCTCCTCACCATTAACTTATGTTTAAAGAAGGAGACCACTGAGTCCTCAACATGACACAAAGTTAGTTCAGTTTTTTCCACTTCTGGGTGCTTTGAAGCCAGTTCCCTGAACTTCTCCCAGTGGTAAATCACATCTTTCAACTGTGTAGCTGACATATGGTCATCACTTTCAATTTCCTCCTCACCACTGTCAGCCTCTACCCGTAACATCTCATCCAGTTCCTTCAAGTCATTAGGAGTAAGTTCCTCCTCATGAGACATCACAAGCTCTTCCACATCCTTCTCCTCCACTTCAAGACCCAATGACTGACCAATGGACACAATCTCCTGGTCCAACTCTGTGTCATCCTCAAATCCCTCAAAATCATGGACTACTGATGGCCACAGTGCTTTCCATGAAGAATTGAGGGTTCTATTGGAGACTTCTTGCCATGATGACACAATCAATTTTACAGCCTCCAGGACGTTGAATTGTGTCTTCCAGAACTGTTTCAGTGTTAGTTCAGGATCAATGGAAGTTGCCTGATGACACCTCCTAAACATTTTCTTCATGTACAACTTCTTGAAGTTGCTGATCACATTCTGGTCCATTGGCTGTATGAGTGATGTAGTGTTTGGAGGCAAAAACAACACTTTCACAAAGTCAAATTTATACTCCAAATTTCTGGCAAGGTCAGGGTCATGACCAGGAGCATTATCCATGAGGAGAAGAGCCTTTAAAGGAAGTTTATTGGTGGTTAGGTAGCTCTTGACAGAGGGGCAAAACACATCAATAGCCCATTCATTAAAGAACTGTCTTGTCACCCATGCCTTACGGTTGGACTTCCAATAAACTCCAAGCATTGTTCTTACCACTTTCTGTTGCTTGAACACCCTGGGGTTTTCAGAGTGGTAGACAAGCATAGGCTTCAGTCGGAAATCCCCTGAAGCATTGGCACCAAGCAATAGAGTGAGACGGTCTTTCATGGGTTTATGCCCAGGTAAAGAGGCTTCATCCTTGGTGATGAATGTTCTTTTGGGCATCTTTTTCCAGAACAGCCCAGTTTCGTCAACATTGAACACTTGCTGTGGAAGATAATTTTCTTCTTCCATCAGTTTTTTAAATTCAATTAAAAACTTTGCTGCCCCTTCTTTATCAGCACTAGCAGCTTCACCATGCCTAACAACACTTAAAATGTCACTTCTTTTCTTAAATTTTTCGAACCAGCCTTTGCTAGCCCGAAAATCTTCAAATTCTGTTCCTGAAGAACTAGGTTGATCTGTCTTTAAATGTTCATAAATCTCCCTGGCTCTTTCACAAATGAAATCACCAGAAACTGAATCACCTTTCATCTGTTTTTCCCTAATCCAGATGATAAGTAACCTCTCAGTTTCTACGATTAGGGATCTACTTTTAAACACTCTTGTAGATTTGTCTCTCACGTTCACTTCCTTAAATTTGTCTTTTTGTGCAAGAATTGTCGACACAGTTGATGCCGACATGCCATATTCTTTGCATAGCGCATTTGATTTAATACCTTGTTCGTGTTTTTTTATTATTTCCTGCTTCATTTGGATTGAAATCACTTTTCTTGATCTCTTAGGCCCCATGCTGGATTCAAACAATGGCAACACGTATTTTTCAAAGTTAAACTAGCTGTAAATAAAGAATATTTTCTTTAAAATAACACTGCACTGCACTATATATTGTCAATATGTAAAATAATTTTCAAAATGACCAATAATTTGCTTGGAAACACAGAAAAAAAGCGTTTAGTTGAAGAGAGTCTCAAGCAAGATGTTACCTCCAGTGAAAACAGAGAGAGACTGACGCCTGTTTGCTGTGTTAAGAGGCTGGATGCCGCGCATTAAACTAGTCACTTTACCTTCAATTTTGTTCAATAATTGTTAAAATGACTAAAAAATTGAATATTAAACTTTTAAAATATAAATTGAATAGTATAAACTTCTTGATATTTACAAAAATAGTAAGGAATTTAAGCCCTAGAACCGATTAATGTATTGGCGGACTGATACTAAAGCTGGTTGCCCGGTCAGTGCAAGCGAAAACATGTTGAGGTCGGTTCGTAAGAAGTTCGTTAAGCGAAATTTTTTTCGTTAACCGAATTGAAGATCCTTATGGAAGGCAGTTCGTTAATCGAAATTACGTTAACCGAGGTGTTCGTTAAACGAGGGGTCACTGTATAGACTGATTTATGCAAATATTTTTGTGACACATTGAGCACAAACCCATGGCCCCTGTTGCAAGGATTTTGTGGACATTATATATTATATTTTATTTCTAAGCCACAATAGAGTACAGTATTGTACAGTAATGATTTTCCACAACTTTCATTGTTTCATTACATGTAACACTAGCGACATGCTGCATTAGCCATCTCACAGGCCACCTCATCCCCAGTTTTTCTCCCTTCCCAGTGAGCTAAAATACTGTATCACTAAACCAAATTTTGACCTAACATTAAGCAAGAAAGGGTGTCAAAGTTTTTATTGCTAAAGTGACTGACTACATGGTGTACTTTACAGTATATGTGTTTTTGGCGATCACTTAAACCTATTTATCATGAAAATTTATTCAAGAACAATTTGGGCATTCATGAGATAATGCTACACATTAAGCCAGTTGCTTAGTTACAGGCTTGGTCATAAAATGAGATTTCAGGATTATTCTTTCATTACTAACCAGCTATGGAGCATGGCACTCGAGTGGATACAGCTCTGGCCTCCTGTTCCAGTGGTTGGTGGTTTGATTCCCAGGCACTCCTGGTTCACCCAGCTGTAAATGGATATTACTTAAGTTTACATCTAAAGGAATTGAATTTGGCCAAGTGCAGTATCAGCCATGCTGACTACTTGTGTACCCAAGGCTTAGTATTTACTGTAGTGTGCTGTGTCCTCACTTTCCTTAATGGGCAGCCATGGCTGTGGGACCCACTTTCAATTATCACTTCCCTTCTTTTTCAGGTTTTACATATAAAGTTTGTGACTCTTCAAGCAACAAAGATACAATGCATTCTCGTGTAATTTGGTCATGTGCCTGGCTGCCAGATTCACATCACTTTATTACTGCTTCTCGAGACAAGACCATTGCATTGTGGGGACAGACGGAGACTGGCTGGGTGAGACAGGCTCTTGTCACCGAGTCAAATGAAGTAACAGCAGTAGCAGTTACCAAATGTCTTGACACTGACACAGATGGCTGTGTTCTTCTGGCTACTGGTAAGATTAAATATAAATTGTCCTGAGTACTGTATGGTATTATATTTTCCTTGGTATGTGAAAAATAAGGTACCGCCTATGGGAATTGTGACTTTGTGAAGGTATATTTATACAACTGATTAATAATTATGGTACAATATTGTTATCAGTATATGGCCAACAGGAAAATGGATGGTAAAATTATATGATTATTATACACAGTACACCTAACAAATAACGTCCTGTCATTCCTCTCTATCATCCATGAACCCGGTGAATCATGAACTTGTGAATCTGAGACATCACACAGTGCACTATCTATGGGCACAACAATGTGTTATGTCTCAGGTTCACAGGATCACAAGTCTCAGGGTTCATGGATGGGGTGGAGGAGTGACAGGACTTTTTTTAGTGGGTGTACATAAACTACATGAGATTCACTTTGTGTTAAGATTGAATAGTATGGTAAGTTTTTGCAGGGCCGAATGTACAATATATTAATTATAAAATACAGATTTTGTTCTATTTTGCTGGTTTTAGTGCAAAAAGTTTATCATTATTTACATTTAAACTCAAACTTTTTCACCCATGTCTACTTATGGCCTCTATATATTTTGTGTAGTATTCCTTTTAGCCTATTGTAACTATTCTGTTGTCAGGTTAACTCATCTTTATCTATACAAGAATGCCATTTCTATTTATTAAGCCTTATTTTGTACCAGCCTAGTATATTCCATCCAATATAATAATAATGGAATATTTTTGTTACATGAGTAGAAAAAGGAATTTATTGTACAGTATATTTACTTTTACTTTTTCAGGCCTGGTAGATGGAAACATCCACTTGAGAAAGTATCTTACAGAAGAGAGAAAATTTGGTGATAACATACTTGAAATATGCCATAAACACCACAGCATGGTAAGACGACTACAGTTCAAGCCTTTTCAAGGATCTGCTGACACTGTAGTTCTTGCTTCATGTGCAGATGATAAAAGAGTTCATTTATGTCAAATCAAAACAAAAATCTCTAGTCAGCTTGTTGATGGTTGAAAAAAAGAATTCTGAAAAGTTGTGTCCCAGTCAGAAATTTTACAGATAGAACTTTGATGTGAAGCAAGAAAATTTTGATGGGGAACACAGTAACTAGCATACAGGTATCTTGCGTTTAGTGATCAGGATGCACTCCTGAAAAACAGATTGCTAAGTGAACAGAAATGAGAAATGATATCCTAAACAAGGGATAATGAGGAATCATATCCGTCAAGAAGGCACCTTATTGTGTCGTCGAGTCACCGACTCAGTGCGGGTGAGACTGAGATGTGAGCTGTTATTGTTCAGTTTGTAATATTGGTTAGGTATATGTAATTTTCTTCATTTTCTTTTACTCTGTTACTTGTACACACAATTGTTCGTACAGAATATGTAAAGTAAAAAAAAAATACCATAAAGGGAATAAACAGTACTTATATGATCGGCAGTTAGCCAATACAGTGAAGGACTGTTCCCTCTCTCCTGTCCCGTGAAATGATTGCCAAATGGCAATGCTGTATTTTTTATTTATTTAATATATTATTTTTATTCCTAACATTTACTGGTACATAAAACAGTTCACCTGGGCAGCAGTCACCAAGATGACTCAAGAGACGTGTGTGGCTGTTGCCTGTATGCTGTGACGTCACATAAACGGGAAGGAGAGTGTGGCTGGCCAGTCACTGCCTGAATACAGACCTTCACTACCCACACATACACACCCATGCCCTTCATTTTATAGTTTTATAATAGTGTATACTATAAAACTATTAGATACTGTACTGTACTGTATTTTCTTTATTTTTAAGCCACATTACAGTATTGTAATGTTATGCACATGGAGCACAGAATCCTCAGTTTTTTTATTTACCTCCCCAATTTTTCCCAGTTAGTCAACGATCGCTAAACCAGAAATTGCAGATCATTAAACAACAAGCGGTGTTAAAAATTTTAAATCGCTAAACTGAAATATCGCTTAAGTGAGGGATACCTGTACTGTGTGGTGTGAACATACTGTACGGTGTGACACAAATGTTAACATACTGTATGGTGTGACACAATTGTTAACATACTGTATGGTGTGACACAATTGTTAACATACTGTATGGTGTGACACAATTGTTAACATACTATATGGTGTGACACAATTGTTAACATACTGTATGGTGTGACACAATTGTTAACATACTATATGGTGTGACAATTGTTAACATTGTGTACGGTGTGGCACAATTGTTAACATACTCTACGGTGTGACACAATTGTTAACATACTGTATGGTGTGACACAATTGTTAACATCGTGTACGGTGTGGCACAATTGTTAACATACTGTACGGTGTGATACAATTGTTAACATACTGTATGGTGTGGCACAATTGTTAACATACTGTACGGTGTGACACAATTGTTAACATACTGTATGGTGTGACACAATTGTTAACATACTGTATGGTGTGACACAATTGTTAACATACTGTATGGTGTGGCACAATTGTTAACATACTGTACGGTGTGGCACAATTGTTAACATACTGTACGGTGTGGCACAATTGTTAACATACTGTACGGTGTGACACAATTGTTAACATACTGTACAGTGTGACACAATTGTTAACATACTATATGGTGTAGCACACACACTTGTTAGCGTTTTGTACTGTGTGTAAATTTTAAATGTTTAGAATAAGGTAATAAAAGACTGAAGCATTATAGCACAATACTCCCGTATAATTCGCGGATTTTTATTTCGCAGTCCTCTATTATTAGCAGATGACACCCTGGTGGTACCCAAGAGTGTCTGTGGGTAGTTTTAAAGTTGCTGGCATTTTTGCAGCTGAAACATGGATCCTTTTGTTCTAGAGACAGTAATTTCCTTTGCCTGTATTGTATATACCATGTGTGTGTGTGTTGACACACACACACAAAACACATACAAATAAATCATGATGGGAAAATCCTATAACAAATAATCTGAAAAATTTATTTGAAATGTGACAGTCTACCCTCTAGTTCACTCTGGGCTTTGTTAATAACAAAGCATGGAGTGGACTTGAGGGTAGGCTCAAAAAAAATTTCTGATTATTTGTGAGAGGATTTTCTCATTATTATTTATTTGTATGTGTTTCGTGTGTGTGTGTGCGTGTGCGTTTACACACAGGTAAAAGAAATAATTGTCCAAAGGGCAAACACGTAAAGGGAATGACCTAACTCGCGAATTTGAAGGGCATGATGTAATTATTACAATGAACAGTACTAATTCAATCACACTGTAGCCATGATACAAAATGTACAATGTTAGAACATGTTCCAATAAACGACCTTATATTGTTCACATTGTCTTCATTTCCTTATTTTTACATCTACCCGGAGTTCTGTAATCGTTTAGAATTGGATCCATGTTCGGATAACATTTGTGGATGGTACTGACCCCAGGAATCAACTACCCTGTACTATACTGATTTGTTTAGATAAAGATGTGAATAATGTACAGTATATATATACAGGGTGTTCCATAAATACCTTTCATAATTCAGGGGGTGTGTTCCTGAGACATAAATAATGATAAATGACTAAATGACCAATCTGTTAATTCTCAATAGTTTTGGAATTACAGCACATGACAGGTTTGATAGGAATGTGATGAAACCTACGGTTACCTGACATAAATCTCCTTGATTTATATCTGTGGGGTCACGTAAGAAGCAAGGTGTATGTTACAGGGGTTCACAAACCACGAGGAATTGTGTACAGGACAGTGTGACAAACATTCGCAACACCCCTGGGGTCTCTGAACGTGCGCGACGGGCTGAGCCCTGCATTTTGCAAGAGGGGCGGAACTTGAACATTTCCTCTAAATGTTAATACAATGCAAATCTTATGACATTATTATTGTTAATAAACGTCACTAGCACAGTGTATTGGATGTTTCATATACACCTCATATAGGTTTCATCACATTCTACCAGACCTGTCATGTGCTGTAACTCAGAAACGATTGAGAATTAATAGTTTGGTCATTTAGTCATTTATCTTTATTTGTGTCTTAGGAATACACCGCCTAATGTTATGAAAGGTATATACAGCTCTTCCCCAACTTACGACGGGGTTACGGACCCAAATCCAGGTCGTAAGTCGAAAATGCTTAAATAATACATAGAAAATCTAAAATGGGTGTCTCTTTTTCTTCTCAGCACCACAAAACTCTCACTTTTAAGTTTGCCAGCCATTTTAAAGTTAATTACAATGGAAAATTTTGTCTGTATACTGACGTTGGGACTCGAAAATACATAATTTGACAAAATTTTGGTACGACTGAGGCAGGTCGTAAGTGCAGGTGGTCGTAAGTCGAGTAGGTCGTAAGTTGGGGAGGAGTTGTGTGTGTATATATATATATATATATATATATATATATATATATATATATATATATATATATATATATATATATATTATATATATATATATATATATATATATATATATATATATATATATTATTGTTATTATATATTTATTATTTATATATATTATTATTGTTATTATTATTATTATTATTATTATTATTATTATTATTATTATTATTATTATTATGTATATTTTGCTGCCAGGCCCCAATGTGGGTCAGTGACCTATGTCGGTGGGCTGATCCTGTATAAAAAAAAAAAAAAAAAAAAAAATCTGAAATCTGAAAATTACGAAAACCGAAATGCATGATCTGGTCCCAAGGATTTCGGATAAGGGATTATATATATATATATGTAATATTCAGAAATTTCAGAGTAATTTCAAATGCCCCGCCATGAGTGATACTGAGCGTTCAAGGTCATCTGAGGGGAGGGAGCGCTGCCTGCTCGTAGCGAGAGACTGCGGAACTAGGCCTATATGATATTAAATGTGATTTACCGAATTAATAATGATGCGATTCATGAAGTTTAGCAGTCTGAATAATGTTACGGGTGTCCCAAGGAGTTATTAGTTAGGCGGTAAATATATCACGTAGGACCAAGCTAGCGCCTTGGAGAGACGCGACGCTGGCTAGGCCCAGTCCCGGAGAGCATTCACACAGACAAGACGTTCCGCGCGTCCATCAGAAATAGTCACGTGGCCTAGTCACCTGTGCTGCGCTATTGCAGTATAACAAGTAAATCTCATTCGATCTCAGACAGGGTTAGATAGGGCAGTGATAAAGTAAACTAGAGCTAACAGTGAGTTCATTTCAGGGTTTCCGTCAGAACCCACTTGATTGGAGTTGACGGAGTTGATTGGAGTTGACCGGAGTTGACTGCGAGAGATTGACTGCCGTTTGAGACTGCCGTTGATGATTGAGGGTGGCGATTGTCGCCATTGGACCGATCAGTGTAGGCCTGTCACTGTTTAGCGGGGTAGCAAAGGATCTCTTGAGTGAACGAGTGCTCCCGACAACTAACACGACACGGGACCAGCATCAGCAGTGGGTGATCAGTTCTTACCACTCCGGTGCACAACCCCACATGTCCCGAGCAGCTAGTGAAACCCTCTTGCTAACGGGAAGCTAAAGTTTCTCTCAACTGCACAGGGTCTGATTGGCTCACTCTCTTCCTGCCCATGGACGCACTGGGAGTACACTGGGGCTATCTGAGTATATTAATGGTCACACACTGAGACCGTGAGTCTAGGATTCTAGGAGATACCTAGAGGAACATTTTATCTTCCTTATCACGGGTGTAGTTAACACCATTCCTCAGACTGATATTATCTTGACGTGTGTAGTTTAATATTTCTTAAATAATTTTGATAGTAGTGTTTTTTTGAATGTTTGTGCCATTAAGTGGAACCAGAGTGATACTGTGATTTGATTCTTTTAATGCCTCTAATTCTTCATAATTCTGATCTCAGGTATAACCTTGTTCCCCAGAGCAGTGGTTAGGTTAGGTTAGGAAGTGTACACCTGTTGGGGTGCTATACTTTTGTTGAGTGATATTATTTTGCTGAAAGCCCTTAAGGCCTATTCATTGTAGAGTATTTAATTTCTTATCTTTTATTACCATTCCTAAGTGACTGATATTATTTTGTGAAAGCCCTTAAGGCCTGTTCATGTGTGCAAACAACATTTCTTAATACTTCAAATTTATTGTTGCCTGTGTTTCTAATAATTTCTATGTCATGTATAACTTTTATTCCCCAGAGTAGTGTTTAAAGTTTAAGTTAAGAGGTGCGCATATTGGTGTACCATTATTTGATTGTGTTTGTAGTGTTGGAGGGAATATAAGTGTCTAAATTTTACAGTGTGTCTCATTCATCCCAGTCACAGACGCTATCCTTCCACGGGTCACGGACAGTTCATTTTGTGTAGTAGATTTAAGTGTTCTTGTGCTGGTTCGGGATTTTTCTCAAAGGGGCGCTTCCACTGCCTTTACCATCTATTAAATTTTAATAAACCCCAAGTCAAGTGAAATTAAAGTCCAGCAAATTCCGACCGGTTACATATATATATATATATATATA